TTTGAATTATACATATATGCTTTGTCACGTAATAAAAAAAGGGAAAAGAACTACGAACACAGTTTGGCAAACAAACTGCAAAAATGATTAACAATCATGGCATCATTTCATCTCAAAAAAGTTAACATAAATAAATAAACAAAAATACATTAAAAGAAACAAATGTTAGTTCTGGCCAAATTAACCACTAAGCCAGTACAACACTTCTTTCCATTAAATACACTTTAACCTGTCTTGCCGTTGATGTACAGTAGGTGGCAGTGGTTTAAGCCCAGATAAAGTAGTGTAAGTATAATTATAAATAAAATATTCGTACAATCCCTCCACACAAATCTGGTGTACTTCTGTCATATTTTGATACAATAAAGGCAAATTAAATTTTTTTTTTAAAGCTAGTACATAAAACACAACAAATTTGGTTGACCATCAGTTGCACTACTGACAAAATATGCGTATGCCCCTATTAGGAGTTTTTGCACGGGACGTCATTCCTCCAAGGACCTGCTTTGGACCAATGGTGGGCCAGCATTGTAGCAATGTGGATCTCTCTGATTGGCCAGAAAAGGAGTCGCCACAAATATGGAAGGTCAGTGCAGTGGCTTTGTTGGACCATGGTTGTCACAGTCTGTGCAAAACCATGATAATTAGACAAACCCATTTCCCTATTTCAGATGTACCACAACAGCGTGCTGGAATTCTACATCGTGACGGCGGACGAGAATGAGTGCAACTGGATGATGTTTGTCCGCAAAGCGAGGTATGGTTCTGGTGTAAAACGTTGACTTCTGTGGGGTTTTTATTTTTTCATTCCAGCCAATATGTTAAAGAACAACTCTTTTTTTGCTGTGTGTGTTTAGGACCCGTGACGAGCAGAACCTGGTGGCGTACCCTGCCAACGGTAAACTGTTCTTCTGTACAACCACTGAGATCCACCCGGACCAGGAGCTGCTCTTCTACTACAGCAGGGACTACTGTAGACTGATGGGTGAGCCGATATTTTAAGAAGCCGCACCGATCTTTTGCTGAACTGGCTATCCATTACGTGATGTTGAGCGTTCCACCATCCTCAATGTCTCCACAGGTGTTCCTCAGCTGCCCGAGGGTCAGATCTGCCAGTGTGGCAAAGAGTGCTCCTCCTTCTCTGAGCTCAAGTCTCACCTTAGCAGCCATAACAGTAACCACAGCCATAACCAACCTCCACACAGCCACAGCCCATCGCAGCAGGACCATTCTCAGCAACAACCCCAGCAACAAGAGCAACAACCACAGCAACACGCTCACCAGGAAGAGAAGCTGACCAATGGGACCTCGAGCTCATCGTCTTCCCCGTGGCCCTGCCACGCCCACGCTGCGGGACAAACGAACAGTGATAACAACAGCAGCAGCAGGGGCAGCAGCAATAGGAACTCTAATAACGTCATCTCCAGAGCAAAAGGTCAAGGTCACGTACGGGAGAAGAAATTCAAGTGCAGCATGTGTTCCCGGGCTTTTATCACATCCACTAAGCTCAACGTGCACTTCATGGGGCACGTGGGGATGAAACCTCACAAGTGTGAATACTGCAGTAAGGCCTTTAGCGATCCCAGCAACCTCAGGATGCACCTCAAGATTCACACAGGTTCGTACAGTCTTTTCTGCTGTCACACCAACCCCCAGTTCTTGCTGTGTTTTAACAACAAGCCAAAGTGTATGCAAAAAAACAAACATTTAAAAGCTATTTCACATAACGCTTTATCCCAAGCTTCTATAAAGAATGTAAACATTTCTGGAAATATGTTTATTTGCTTTCTGTGTAGAGCCAGGCTAGCTGTTTCCCCCGTTCCCAGTCTTTGTGCTAAGCTAACTGGCTGCTGGTTGACACTTCACATTAAAGGGACAGACATTAGAGTGGTGTAAAACATTTTCAACTCTCTCTTTTTTTTTCTACTAACAGGTCAGAAAAACTATAGATGCACGGTTTGCGAGAAGTCATTTACCCAGAAATCCCATGTGGCGTCCCACATGCTCATCCACACCGGTGCAGAGAAACTCAAGTGTGACCTCTGTGACCGGGCATTCATCAGGAAACATGACCTGAAACAACACATGTTCTCTCACACACAGTATGTAACTTATTTAAGTCTTTTGCAAAAGACGTTTTGATGTCAATGAGATTACCTGATGAAATAAAGGTTATTTCATGTTTTGTTTTGTTTTTTTCAATGTAATTTTCCACTACAGTGAACGCCGGATACAGTGCCCAAAGTGCAACAAACATTTCCTCAAGACCAACCACCTGAAGAAGCACATGAACTCTCACGAGGGCCGAAGAGACTTTGTCTGCGAGAAATGCCACAAAGCTTTCCTCACCAAATACCACCTCACCCGTCACCTCAAGATATGCAAAGGGCCCAAGACAGAAAGAGCGTCCCGTAAGGAGCAAGATGTGGATGAGGAAGAGGAAGACGACGAGGAGGAAGAGGAGGACGATGGTAGGGGAGGAGAAGGAGGAGAGAGACACGTCGACTCCGCCAGCAATGAAGACTGTGGTTTGGATGTTGGAGGATATAACTCTGAAAAGTCCCTGTCGCCCCCTCATTGAAAACACTGTGCCTCTTGAGATGTCTTGTTTATTTATTTTCTCTACTATAATACTGACATTTACCTCTAGTTTTTGCCAAATATCAGTTCCTTTGTCAAATTTCAACTGCGACATTTACATAATCAGAATTTTACAATCAGTGTATGTTTAATGTCACAAGCATTTAAGTGCTGCTAAAATAATCTGTTTTATAATAAGCCAACTGATAAAGATCGGATTTCTGCAAAGCTACTCTCTCTGTTCATTTAACTCAGGCCTGTGTAATATTGATCGATGGGATTCATATAAGCTATCTTTCATTCGTTGTGATTCCTTCTGTTTTTTCTTTGACTCACTCACTAACATGGGGTGAATGGCTGATATCCATTTGTAGTTGCACAATAACGTCAATTAAAATTTCTGATGCCATATTCTTGCATTTTAGTCCTGATAATATGTAATTGCGCAATGGGCCGTGCTTATATTCTTTATTTATTAAATAACAGGATTTGTTTTTTTATTCCTATTTTGTATTTAAAATTTCCGTGTGAATGGAAGTGAGCTTCTTGAAAACAGGAATCATGGTGTTAATGTGATATTCCTCATTGTGTGAGTGTCGATTTCATGTTGAAACGTTATAACTCCATCCTATCTGTTGCATAATGTTTTAATAAATTAACATTTACAGCTGATTTATGTTGTTTACTGATATACATTATATAGTTGAAAGCATAAATGACTATTTCAATGATTATTCCAGTTTTCTTGTGTCTGTATTGAGATGGTTGATGATCATTGCTGAACAAAGCGCCCCCACCTGGCCGTGTGAATATCACATCCAAGATTTAATTGAAATTAATGTGAATAAAAACATGACTATGACCATCAAATAGATTAATAAATTATATTAATTATTAATTTAATTATAGATATATATTAAGATAATTAATTTTAAATAATGTATAACTACTAACTTACTTTTACAGATAAATGTAATGTTTTGATGAATATATGAACAGACTCGAGATAAAATAGTGTCCGTTAAATGTATACTCTGTCTGCTGTAGGTAGATTTAGTTTTAATTTTGTCTTTATTTTTATTAAAATTAAAGTTAGCGACCGGAAATACGCGCAGTAGCTTCCGGTTCAAATACAAAACATGCAGCGCCGCGGTTATCATTCACTGTAGCGTGGTATGAAATATCTATATTTCCTACGCGTTGTATGTGTATTTCGGTTGTATCACCTTTACTGTAAAATTGTGTATTATTGGCTGTGAAAGGACATTTACACTGAAACCAAACTTTACCTGTTTATATGGAAACTAGCTAACTTTAGCTTAACGTTTAGCTACCAGGTCGGCTAAGTGAACTGCACCACTAACTTTAAATAGAAAGATAGAAAGATAGATAGATACTTTATTTATCCCGAGGGGAATTCAAGACTTAGCCCTAACTTTAAACCATGCTTCACCTTCTTACCTGATATGTTTATACTAGTTTTAAAGATGTTTCTTGATGTGATCTCTTGTTGAATGTAGCACACTGTTTTCTCTCCGCTTCTCGTCTCAGCCTGAACAGTCTGATGAAAGCATGTTGACCCCGCCGAAGGAGAGGATGCCCAGTATGATAGACAGGGCTCTGAGGATGAGGAGGGAGGAACAGGCTCGCCAGGTGGTCCTCGCCTGGGCTGTGCTCAACGTGTCTCTAGCTGGCATGATATACACTGAGATGTAAGTTGCTCCAAGTTCAGTCATGTGTCTTGCAAACACCTGCAGTAGTTTGGAATAAAGCACTGATTCGCTGTCCCTTCAGCTCGCACCTCTCTTCTTCCAGTGTGCAGTGTGTGTATTTCTGTGGTAATCTTTTTGTCACTTTTCTATAAGGTCTGGGAAATTGCTGAGCCGATACTACAACATCACCTACTGGCCTATCTGGTACATCGGTGAGGTCCCACTGCTCTCTGTACAAAAGCACTTTTCACCATTAATTTCAGCCTGAGTTGTATTTCTGTTTAGTGAAAATTAACAGTAAGGAGAACACCCTTAAACAGTCTCACTTAAATGTATTTTCAGATTTATCTTAATGTAAATGGAAGAATTGATACAACAATTTTGCACGCAAGGAATAGTCTGACATTTAATTTGACGCCAACTGACACCTGAGTGTTTCTACTCTGTTAGGGAAGACCCTGTACGCTAAGTGTGTCCTTCTCTTCTGTCCTCGATTACAGAACTGGTTCTAGCCTCTCTTTTTAGCCTCAATGCTCTTTTTGATTTCTGGAAATATTTCAAATACACGATGGCTCCCTCCACCATTGCCGTATCCCCTGAGCAGCATCACCTCCTAGGCCTGAGGAACACAAGTGAGGCTCTTTTTTTTTTTCTTTTCGTTTGTTTTAATCATTATCCCATTAATGTGAATTTAGTTAGTTAGTTTTCAGCGTGGTACTCATTTAGTATGCTGGTTGTTGTCTGTCCCCTTGCAGGTATTCAGGCCTCTCCGCCCCAAAAGCCAGAAAAAAAGGAGACCCCAGCTCCAGCGCAGTCGTCCCCGCTGCAGGGCCAAAGCGTGCTGAGTTTCAGCCCCTCGCGGCCAGCCACCACCAGCCCCAAGTTCTCCCCCAGCTGTGTACCTGGGTACAGCCCTCCTCTCAGCAACCCATCCACGCCAAGCAGTGCAGGGGGGCCCTTTTCCCCCTCAGTGGCCTTTGGAAAGGTATGTCCTTTACATTACTATTATAGCCTGGAGATGTGTGGTGGATGAATGGAACAGATTAATATCCTCAGAAGCGATTCTCTCCCTACTGGAAGATATTAATTGTCAAATGTAACATATATGTTCTTGTCCATGACTTCACTTCCTCAGGTGTTGAACTACAGTCCCTCTCCTGGCTCTTCTCCCTACCCCAGCAGCATTGGACCAGCAGAAGGCTCCAGCCTGAGAGCTCGATATCGCACGTCCCCCTCTGTGTTTAACTCCCCTGGAAGCAAGGAGGACTACATGGAGGATCTGAAAAGCCTGGAGAGGTTCCTCCGCACGGAAGAGGAGAAGAGCCACCGCAGCCAGCTAGGTACAGTATGCCGGTGTTGCAGGAACATTAAAAACATGATTGCTAGTAACACTTTATTCACCCTGAGACAGACAAAGGTTGAACAAGAGAAGCTTTGGCCAGTCAATTCTTTATCATTTCAATCTGAGTTAATGTGGGAAAACATATACACTGTGTTCCAAATTATTATGCAAATACGATTTCAATTAAAAAAACGTTAGACTTTTAGTTTTTCAATGAAAGTTTCAATGTGCTGTTCCCATGTCTTGTTTAGATACGACATCAATCTTCAGACAGGTTGTTGCTTTACTTAGTTGTGCCAGGGAGCCCTCAATAATGGAAACTACTTAAGGAATGTTTTCCACATTTTAGAGCGAGTCACAGGTTCAGCCAATAAAAAAAAAATCTTTCTGCAGATGAAAAGTGTAAATGTGCAGCTATCTTTCAATAGTATGAAATCCACAGAGTATTTTTGAATATTAAGGAGAGATCATCGTCCTATGAAAAGATGTTGTCGTTCAGATGCAGACTGCAGTACGGTTGTTCAGATAAAAGGGCGTGTTAAGGAAAAGTTCTCTGTAAGCAGAACAGTCTTATTCATGAGTATCCGCTCTACACTGGATTGTCCAGTATGGTGAGGAGTCTGATGGCCACATTGTCCCAAACAAAGCTGCAGACATCAGCAAGGAGGTGGTGGAGGGATGTTTTGGGCTGGAATCATGCGGAAGTGACGGTGCGTGGCCCTTAAGTGCCTGAAGTGTGTCAAACTGACTCTGCTAAAATATGTCGAGTCTTCTACCCATTTCCTGCCATGTATAAAAGAAGAACCGTGGCCTTCCGAGTAAAAATCATTTTCATGTAAAACGCAGCCATCTTATGCTGAACAATTAATACCATTGGAGGCCTAGGTGCTTTGCCATTAAGGGAGAAAGAATACAGGTGTGGGCACCATAACTTCCTGACCTCAACCCTATTGAGAACCTGTGGAGCATCCTTAAAAGGAAGCTCTATGAGGGTGGGTGGCAGTTTACCTCAAAACAGCAGCTCTGGGAGGCAACTCTGGCATCCTCAAAGGAAATACAGGCAGAAACTGTACATGGACTTACAAGTTCAATGGATGAGAGTTGTTAATGTGATATCAAAGAAGGGCTCCTATGTTAATATGTAACTTGATCTGTAAAGATGTTTTTGATTGGAATAGCTTTGATTTGAGAAAAATTACCCCCTAATGCAAAAAATACAACAGATTTCAGTTTTCAATCCTTTAGAAACTATTAAGTGTTGCATTTTGAGTTATTTTGCATTTTATTCCACAGTGAATGCTGTTAGATAATAAAGGTCAGCAAGCTGCTTTTAAATTCAGCCAAAGAAATAATAGACTGGATAGAAATAATCCTTTTCTTTAAAACATGGTAACTGTTAAGTACTGTCAAACAACTTGTGGGTTTTTTTTTAGGTTACTAATCTTTGAGAAAAAGAAAATATTTGCTTAAATATTTGGTAGATGTTTAACTTAGCTAACGTTAGCTCTGACTTAGCTATCTAGCTCTAATATTATGGCAGTTCTAGACAGAAAAAACAGTTACGTTGTTAGCTAACATAACATTAACATTATTTTTTTAAAGTAAGCCAACATAGTTTTATATTTTAACTGTCAAATTAAAGTTTGCGTAGTAAAGTTAGCTTAACATTTGAGATAAAACAGATGCTTAAGCTGACGTAAATTAATTTTCTCTGAAATAATAAAATAAAGTTTAGACAGCACTTTTAAAAACAAAGTCACAAAGTGCTCTGCATGGTTGAACTGTGATAAACATTTCAGGACTGAAGTTAGAAATATAACGCTTGAAAATGGGGATAACGTTACTAACGGACGTTTTTACCCACTTAACGGTCGGTAACCAGCAGAACCGTTAGCTTACAAGTAATAAAGTGACATAAGTTACTCCTTTAACACAAGTGTGAAACTACATTAAAGCTAAACACTTTAATTCACTTTATTTCACTTTAATTAACCTGGACCACCTTTGAGTCGTTTCCGTTGCCTGGTTATCGTTTCGTTTCTATGCTGTGTTCAATGAACCTCGGAAAAAACGGTTACCATTATCAAAACACTCAAGTCGTCATCAAGGGTGTTCTCATTATGGGGGGGTCCTGAACCTGAGCTGCCTCGGTTCACTCTGCCAGCTCCAACAGCAAACACCTCAGTAAGTTGTAGAGAGAATTATATCACAAGCATTAGTAATTGTACGTTTTATATTCATTAGCAGCCTCAGTAATTCAATAATATGATAGAGTGAAGTGGTCCTGATTAATTTCAGAAGGTTTAAGCCTTTATTTGCTCCATGTGCGTTTATAGTACATAGACAAAATGGAGCAAAAAGGTTCATTCCTGACCCTAGAAATAGTAGTTTTATACAATTATTTTGTATACATCAAGGTCAATTTAATAGCTCTTTATTAAGCTTTCTTTAAATTCACAGTTTTCATCAGTGGATGGAGTTTGGCCTGTTGTCATGGAGTTGTAATCTCAGTTTTCATCTTATAAAACTAGTTTTTTTAATTATCTGGCTGCATAGACATTTAATTTGTGTAAATGACTGCCCAATAACACTGAATTATTCTTGATTTGATTATCCTAAT